TGTATGCTTCTCCCCCTCCTAAAGCAGCAGCTTGAGCATGTCTCATATATTCACTCTCCCAAACCACATATTGCATGGATGTTAAAATCATGCGAAATATTTGCTTCCAATCTTCAGGATCATTGTATAACCATTTTTTATTCCTTTTACAAGTCCTCTTGTAAAATTACCACTAATCCTATAGTCTGTAACTGCCTTTTAAAACTCTCTTAAGATCTGATAAGGCAGACCCTCCCATTCTGCTACTTGCAGTCCAAGCTGTGGCCCCTGACCAGGATGATATTGTACTGGACAAACAGACAATAATTCTGCAAATTCTGTTCCTGAGACAGAGGTATCCCTTTTACAAGTCTCTACCATTTTCTGAAAAGAAGACTGAACAATAGAGTCAGGAGGCTTTTGCCTTGTATCTGCAGGAGCTGAGGGAATTGAAGACATATATTCAGGTGAAGAAGGGGGACAAATGACAGCATTGGTATAACATGAAGGTGGAGGTGTTAAAAGAGAAAGTTCATTGTGACCAAATTTTTCAATTGCATGCCTACATAAATGCCACACATGCAAAACTTCTATTTTTGCTCGAGGTTCAGTATGCAATGTTTTCCCTATACGTTCCCAATCAGTTAATTTTAAAGACCCCTTTTCTGGGTACTATAGGCACTGAGATGCAATCTCCTGGACCAGCCTTAAGAGATTTCTCTGTGGTACTTCAGTATTATTTTTCTCCAACAAATAGCCTAATTCATCTAGATGCTTCCTTTGTTCCTCAGAAAGCAAAGACCCCATACTTACAGAAACCAAAAGGTTGAAGAAACCACAAAGGTTTGAAGGTGCACCAAATCCTTGGCGGATGAAGTAAGAGGATCCCTGTTCGGGTGCCACTTGTTGTAATGATGAGGCAGTTGAGTTGTTTGATCATGAACAACTGAATCATGATGATCTTTATTGGAGTCTAGTCTTGCATTTATACACATTTTTAGTTATCTTCCATCATTGGTTAACTTTGGTTACTGCTTAACTTTTGTTACTGTTTAGCATAGTAATCCATACAATTAATTATCTCTAGTTAAAGTCTACCATATGTTTACTTCCTCTCTCTAATCCTCCTTTAGATTAGTGACTTTGTTTACCTGAGTTGTATTTGCTTGGAAACATTCTTTATCTGAGGTTTGCCATCCAAGATTGGAACATTCCTGCAATTACAACTCTACAAGGATTCATAAAGATTTTTTTTTTCTGAAATCACACAAATTCCTTGTTTTTGTCTGCTATATGCAATACAAAATCACATTTTAAAAAAAGCAAAAGGTGCTAATCCTATGGCCCTACCATCAAGAGCAGACATATGAGTCAAAAACATCATGTGTCAACTCATAAAATATTTCTATGGTCTTTTTAGAGCTGCCAACAGAAAGGGAGGGGGGAAAGGGATTTGAAAGAGCAGTGTGGCAGCTTGGAAAGTGAAAGTGCATTCCATAAATAGTTTTTCAAAGATAGTAACTAGGTGATGAGTTTCTGCTATGCAAAATTCTAACTGGAGAACATGATTGATGACTCTTGGCTATGGATGTGTCTCATTGGAGAATATGAATTACGATACACCCAGGGGGGTGGGGGGAAACCAGGGTCAAGGGTGACAATGAATTATGTGTCTCAGAGTTGGCTACACCCAGGCAGTGCCGGACAGTTTAACTCCCAATAAATCCTTTTGAAGTTTTGGAAATTTGGCTCCAGACTCATGATTTAAATGTAGGTAACTGCCGGAATCCTGACACCATGACTGCATTTTTTGCCAGTTCTGAGCTGAATTCACTCGTCCAACATGAATAAATGAAACTACAGATAGTCCTTGTCTTACAACATTTAGTGACTGTTCAAAGTTACAACAGCACTGAAAAAAGTGACTTATAACTATTTTTCACCCTTATGACTACTGCAGGACGCCCATGGTCATGTGATTTATATTCAGATACTTGACAACTGATTCACATTTACGATGGATGCAGTGTCATGGGAATCAGGTGATCAAGCTTTTGCTACCTTCTGACAAGCAAAGTCAACAGGCAAAACAGATTCACTTAACGACGGTGTTACTAATTTAACAACTGCAGTGATTCCCTTACCAAATGTGACAAGAAAAGTCATAAAATGGGGCAAAACAAATTTCTCACTTAGCAACATACATTTTGGGCTCAATTCTGGTCATAAGTTGACCATAAGTTATCTATACATCTTCTGAAGCTACCAGCTTCATTCCACAACTTTCAACTATATAAGTGTTGTGCCAAGAAATGCTGAGTTTCATTTTGGGTTCACTTACCACCTGCCACGCGAAGGTAGGAAATTGCTTTGTTCTGTTATAGAACAAAGGACACTTGGCAGAAAAGTTTCCAAAACAAGCACCGTTAGTGGTAGGGAAGTGTGACCTGCTGGAATTTCTTATCAAAAAGTGCTGGTCGTCTCCTGGCTCCTTTTGTTCTTTGGATTATTCCATATCAAGTGACCTTTGACTGATTTTGAAAGTGAAAGGAATTTTTGCTTTTTTAGCTAATGATTAATAAAGGTCAATCCGTGCACATAAATTTGTAACCCCCTCCAATTCTATCACAAGGACTAGGATTTATAAGTCTAATCCAGACCTTACACCATTTTGTTGAAAATTCAACAAAATGAAATTCAATATAGAGAAAAGTAAAATCCTACACTTAGGCAAGAAAAACCAAAAGTACACATATAGACTAGGTGAAACCAGGCTCAATAGCAGTAACTGTGAGAGGGATCTTGGAGTCTTAGTGGACAACCAGCTAAATAGGAGCCAGCAGTGTACAGCAGCCACTGCCAAAAAAGCTAATGCAATCCTAAATTGTATCCTAAAGAGGGATACAGTCAAGATCAAGGGAAGCACTAATACCACTCTATAAAGCCTCAGTAAGACAACACCTAGAGTACTGCATCCAGTTTTGTTCACCGCATTATAAAAAAGATGTTGAGACTCTAAAAATAGTACAGAGAAGAGCAACCAGGATGATTAGGGGACTGGAGGCTAAAACATACAACGAATGGTTGCAGGAAATGGGCTTGGCTAGTCTAGTAAAGAGAAGGACCAGGGGAGAAATGATAGCAGTCTTCCAATATTTGAGGGGCTGCCCCAGAGAGGAAGGGGTCGAGCTATTTTCCAAGACACCCAAAGGCCAGACAAGGAATAATGGATGGAAAGTGAACAAGGAGAGATTTAACCTGGAAATAAGGAGAAACTTTCTGATAGTGAGAACTATCAACCAATGGAACAGCTTTGCCTTCAGAAGTTGTGGGAGCGCCATCACTTGAGACCTTCAAGAGATTGGACTGCCATCTGTCAGAAATGGTGTAGGGTCTCCCGCTTGGGTGGAGGGTTGGACTAGATGCCCTACAAGATCCCTTCCAACTCTGATTATCTGATTAAGAAAACAATATGTCTCAACCATGGCAAATTTAACATGTATATATTCAATTGCTGGCTGATAAATTTTGGGAGTTGAAATCCACACATCTTCAAGCCACCAAAGTTGGTGTTAGATCTGGGAGGATGGTTCAAGAACGGAGGCAAGACTCAGATAACAACAACAGCTCTTTATTAGTGACTTCAAATCTGAGCAAAGAATCCCAGCTGCAGCAGCCCCTTATATAGGGCTGGCTGCGGATAGGCAGCCAATGAAGGCGATTTGAGTTTGCCGCTCTTGGCTGGGCCAATCGCGGCAGCCCGTTTACTAGCCAATCGCATCAGTCTGCGGCGACCAATCACAATCTGCTATTCGCGGGCCAATCAGAGTTGCAGGCTTTCGAGCCTGCTAGTCCGGAACAGTTGGGAATGGGAATCACTGTCCTATATGATCACTGGGTAAGTCTTTCTACTGAATTTATGCCAGGAATTGACAACTTCTGATTCTAAAGGACCCATTAGAAATGTTGACTTCAAGTCATGCCACTCACACAAAATGGCTGCTTTGGATTTTTTTTAAAATATAATTTTTATTGAGAATTTTTACATAGGCAAAGGACAAACATGAAGGTAAACTGCACCATGAAAAGAAGGAAAAATAAAAAAAGAGAGAGAAAAAGAAGAAAAAGTGCAGAAAGCAAAACAGTAGAAAATAGAAAGAAAAATAAAGAAAGAGAAATCGGCAACTTCTGAATCCTTTTTAACAATTATGAACAAACTTATCGACTTGTGGACTTATTATCCATAATTTGTCCCTCCTCCCTCAATAATATTATAAAAATCCCTTCAGCAACTTGTTCAGACTTTTTCAATCATTCAATCCATAAATCGTCCTTTCACTTGTTTTTCATTTTCAGCAAAAAGTCCCCCAAAGTTTACTGGTCTTGTAAAAGTACTTACTGTTTTCCACAAAGCTGCTTTAGATGACCATATAGCTACCTAGCTATTTACCAAATTTGAGAACACAATTTTCTTTCTTCTATTTTACCTAAAAACACATAGCTGCAGCAATGAATAGCCTGAAATGGCATGTTATCATTCTTTTTATTTCATGAAAATGGGATCTCTCCTAAGCTAAGGTAAGTTTCAAGTCACACTGTGTGATTCCTTTTGTTTGTTGGCTTAGTGTGTGGTATGACCTTCCACCATGACAACTCGTTCAGTAAACTGGGACTAAAACAAAACCCTGATACATAAATGTTGTCAGTCTTTGTCCAGATCTGAAATCTTCATTTTTTGCCAGCTCAAAATACAAAATTTTCCATTTTCCAAAGGGATAATATCTGAATTTGCTCTGGTGACATTTGGGGAAATTTGGGATTTCGTTTGGCTATGATTTTGTTTCCTGTCTTATTTGAAACGCTTTAGGCTCTCATTGCTGGCAGTTTGGCACTTGGCCTAGGTTTTTTGGCACATCCCTTGGATTCCAGGGGAAATTCTTGCTCCACCTCTTGGCCTTTATTTTCCTGTGACGTAACCCTGGTAGTAATTGCAAAAAGGGAGGATATTTGTTTACGAAGTCAGATCCAGAAAACCAAGCTAGGAAGTATTTTCCTGACCTGGGCAGCTCTTCGGATCTTCTTGCTACTGTGGGTTGTGAAGAGATTTTTGGCTAACTGGATCTTTCACCTGCTGGTCTAACACCAAAGGTTGGAAATGCTGTGAAGACAACAATTCCTTGGAAGAAAAAACTGGGAAATAGTGTACCAAGGCAGGATTTAAACTTATTCTGCAGAAAGGCAGGTTGCGCCATGGGAAGCAAAGGATCTGTATTATGCTGGTAATGAGTTACAAGAAGAGTGATTGCTTGGCTACCTGAGATGCAGTTACTTGCCTTAGTGCTGTTCCTAACTCACTTGATTTCTGCCTGCTTCCCCCTTGCAAACTCGCTGAACTCTGTCAGTTGCTCACCGGTAAGTAAAAGTCTATATAGTGGCGGGAGGAGGCAGCGAAGTTCAGAATCGGACAAAATAATCTCTGGGATCTGTTATTCCCTTCCTTTTTCCTTAGTCCCCTTGTATTTTGCATTATTGCTGTGTTGCAAACTGGCATCAGCATTTTGGCACCTATGGTTGATTAGGAGCTCTGACAGCTTGATTCTCTGAGGCGAAGCATGTTTATATCGTGTCAGCATAGCATGCTTATCTCAGGTGTCATTACAGCCAGTGGAAGAGGGATTGTTGTTAAGAAGAATTATAGTAGAATCAGCTCGGCCAAAGAACCCTTGTGTCATGATATGAAAGTTTTGGAGCCTTACCTTACTTAGCAGTATTGCTTAGCAGAATCAATACTTGCTGTGATGTAGGGTCCTGGGTGCTCTCTGAGCTTGGTTGTTTTTTTCCAAATGTTTCATTACCCAACTAGGTGAGGTAACATCATCGGTGCTAGCTAACCAGGTGTTACCTAACTTGAAACTTCTGCCAGCAAACAACCAAACCCAGAGAGCACCAAGGACCCCCACAGCAACTCCTTAAAACAACAGTATCATTTTCAGAGCTTAGGTAGCAGTCATGAGATGCTAAGAAATGACACAGTCGCTTTAAAGAACTGTAGGGACATGCATGCTATGTTTATACTCCCTTGGGGACTAAAGGAACTGTTTTAAATAATTTCTGAAGTGCTGCATGGTTGCTGCATCACTGGAGGCTTTCCAAAAGAGACTGGACAACCATTTGTCTGACATGGTATAGGCCAGGGTCTCCTTCTCAAGCAGGGGGTTGGACTAGAAGACTATGATGTCCCTTCCAACTCTATTGTTCTATGTTCTCTTCCTTTATTCTTGCTAGGATGGGTTGTTGCCAAGCAGTGCCTTATCCCAACTATTTTTGATATCTTGGATGTGTACGTCTGTTAGAGGTTTAGTAATACAGGAAACAGCAGGACAAGTTATTTCCTGGGAAAAAGATAAGGCATATCAAGGAAGAATGAGTAAAACTGGAGCTGTAATTGCAGTGATGGTTGCAATACTTAATGAAGACAAAAATCTGCATTTGAAGGACTACAAATGAGCCTTCACCACAAGTTGAAGGCACTTCAGGAGTGTAGCCACTAGACACATAGATCATTTGTTTCAATAGGATTAGATAGAAGGTAGTTGGGACTCTGGAAAAGAAACAGACTTTCTTAAAAATCTTAGTCTTCCACATGAGCTAAGTCTTTTCCTGCTTTCCTCTGTAATTACTAATGAGTGGCAAAATAGGGGTATTCCCCAATTTCATTCTTTCAGGAGCAGAAAGATGAAAGAAGATTCTAATGAATATTAGTTACTGGAATTGAAAAAGTGTTTTAACTTAATTTACAAGTTATTACTGAATCTTTATTCAAAATAGCTCTTCCAACTTCCTCAAAGTGACATCAGCATTTTAGAAAAATCCCAAGGTTTGGAAGAGTTAAGAGAAAACACTTTTTTAGGCAGGGGGAAAGGACTTCCACAAACAACACACTTTCTGGAAATACAAATTAATTGGTATGACAAGATGAAAAAGAGGGAAATGGAACAGAACAAACGGAAAAATGGCATTTCCGAATTGCTGGTTGGGTCGCATTCTGCATATTATACCACTGTGTGTTATTAGAGATCTCACTGCTGTGTGTTATTGCAGAGTTGTAAGGTGAGGCTTGATTTAAAAAATTCTTTTTTCAGTATCATCATAATTTCACCAAATGAATGGTTATAAATTGAGGAGTACCAGTGTTGAAATGTTAAAAAATATAGTTGTTTGCTGAATTTTGACATATGCTGCAGCACAGCCAGTAATATATTTGCTCAACTCTCAATTGTTATAAAAAAACAAAAACAAACTCATTCCAAATGCTCTTATATTCAGCTAAGCGGCAGTAAGCAACATCACGCTTTGAATTTTTCAGCTTAGTTCTCCAAATCTCCCATCATGTCAGCAAATGGATTGGATAACGGCAGATAGAATAAATGTCATTCTTCCATTCAAACTAATATGCTAAGGAGGTACTTCCAGTAGGAAACACTGATTACAAGCAGTCTGTTGGGTTCAGAATTTCTGTTCTGAGCAAGGCATGAGTGAGTCATCCCAATTTTATGACATTTTTGAAGACTTCCAAAAGACTTGTTACATGAATCACTGGAGTTGTTCACCAAATCATGCAGTGCTTGAAGGAATTCGGTTTCCCGCATTGACTTGGCAGGATAATAAACAATGGATGAAAACTAATCGAGGGGGAAAAGCAACCTGGAATAAAGGAGGAACTTTCTAACAGCGAGGACGATTAACCAGTGGGACAGCTTGCCTTCAGAAGTTGTAGAAGTTGTCCTCCATCACTGGAGGCTTTTAAGAGAAGACTGGGCAGCCACCTGGCTAGATGATCTCCAAGGTCCCTTCCAGCTCTATTCTGATTGCTTTTAAATGCCAACCATATGATCCCAGGATGCTGCAACTGTCATAAATACATGCTAGTTGCCAAGCGCCTGAATTCTGTTCACATGACCATAGGGATTTTTTCAGTGCCGGTATAATTTTTAACAGTTTCTAAATGAATTTAGGTTATAAACCAAGGATTAACTGTCTTTACAAGAGAGGCTAAGAAATACAATGAGTTAAAATGTTTTTGGCAGACATTGCCTGTGATGTTGCCAATTTTTACTCAAATGTTATTTTACACAAATGGCTTTAGCTTTTACTTGAGAGCCCATGGACTTCATGTGGCTATGGAAAGCTAGTAATGCGGCCCCACTATACTTTATTAAAATGCTTTACAATTTGTTGTTTATAATAAGTTAGCTATATTTTACATAGAACCCAAGACAAATCCTCTTCACTCAGTTCAGCCCAGGCAAGCCAAATATTGGATGTGCCTTTAGAGCAGGGGTCTTTAAACTTGACAGCTTTAAGACTTGTGGACTTCAACTCCCAGAATTCCTCCTCCAGTCATGTTAGCTCAGGAATTCTGGGAGCTGAAGTCCACAAGTCTTAAACTTGCCAAGTTTGAAGATCCTTGCTTTAGAGGGTTGTAATCAGCTGGACTAGACGATTTTATCCACTTTCTCTAGTGCATCCAATTTCTTTCCTCATTTTTTGGTCTTTTGATATTAAATCAGTAAAGTCAATCTGTTGTTTTAACCTTAGCTTGACTGACTACATTGTGTAATGGGAGCTAGGAAAATGGGTTTATTTTGAATATACAGTATGTATCTATATCTATATCCTGGTCATTGAACCTGCTCCTTCCTCTCTGTCCTTCTGCAGGGCCTGGGCTGTCAGCTAAGTAAGTATATGTTCTGTTTTTATGTGTGTGTTAAACAGAAAGTTCATTTTCCTTCAAATTAGTGCATTACACGGTAGTTGTGGTGGACAACAATCTTCATCTTAGTAGTTGTGCTGGGTAAGAATGGAGAGAGTCGTGACACCCACATGGTGTCAGGGAGAAGGCAACTGACTTCTCAGTCGTATGTGTGGTTCCTCAAGGTTCAGGATAGCAACCTACGCAATTTGTCTGGGAACTTGTCAAGACAGGATTAATTAAGCTCTTAAGAATGGTTTGCTCCCATTTTATCATGATGATCGTGGAATTTCTCTTTCACTCATGCGCATGCACATATCCGAAAGGGAGAACACAAATTATACCTCGTGATTTCATGCCAGTAAAATGCAGTGTCTCCTTGTGCAAATAAAACATGTTGGAGAATGAGAGGGGGAAAAAGGGGGTGGGAAGGGGCATAACAGAGAAAAGCCATTTGAAGGCACCTCTTAAATTCTTGGGGTACAAAGTTTGCGAACGTTCCTCCCCTTCTGCAGAACGTTAACTTGCAGCCGTGTGGAAAGCAACCTTGGCTGAGCACCCCCTCCCACTCTTCAGTCTGCAAAGCACAACTAGGTTGGGTAAGGGAGCTTCCTCTACTGCAGGGGTCTCCAACCTTGGCCACTTTAAGACTTGTGGACTTGAAGTCCACAAGTCTTAAAGTCGCCAAGGTTGGAGACCCCTGCTCTACTGCCCCCAATTCATTTTCTCTCTCCATCCCCACCTTGCTTTCAGAAAAGAAGGATCCTCCGTGCATACCTAGTGAACCCAGATCAGATCCAGAACTAGATCCAATCCTAAGGCTGATTCAGATGAACCCAAGGAACACTCTTTGGTGCCCGGAGGAGGGAGACTGCATTCCTTGCGTGCAAGTGATGTTAACTCTTGGATTACTGGGTAAGGGAGTTGACTCAAGCATCTGTTCTTGGAAGTGTAATTTTTTTAAAAAAATTAATCCATCTTTCAGTCGTACAGTGTGTGGACTGGGTACATATATCTTGTGCAAGTATTTATATTATGTATACATTTCTTACTAGGATTACATTCATATTACAAACTATTCAATCTTACATATCTTATCATTATAACAATATCATTTAACTTCTTACTTTGTTTTCCAACTGTTTATAAAATAAATCCCATATCATGTAATATTCTGCTTCTTCTTGTTCTTTAATTGCCAAAGTTAATCTACTCATTTCTGCACATTCCAATATTTTCATAATCACATCTTCCTCTGTTGGAAACTTTTCATTTTTCCAGTTTTGAGCAAATACAATTCTAGCTGCTGTTAATATATGTTTGATTAAATAAGTTTTTTTCTTTACTATAATTTTCAGGTAAAATCCCAAATAAGAATATTTCAGGTTTGAAATTTATGTGTTGTTTTATCATCTTTGCCAACCATGTGTGTATTTTAGTCCAATATCTTTTAGCTTATAATAATAATACTTATATTATTATATTATATATTAGTATTATTATATAATAATAATACTGCTACCCTTCAAAAAGACCTCAGCTATGTATCAGAATGGTCAAACAAATGGCAACTTCAAATCTCAACAAATAAATGCTCTGTCTTACATATCGGCAAAAAAAAAAAATCAGAAAATAAAATGCAAGCTGAATAGTCAAGACCTTGTTGATTATCCAAACTCTGTCAAGGACCTAATGATCTAAATGCTAGAGCCCACTGTAACTACATAGCCAAAAAGGCATTGAGTTGTTAAACTAATCCTATGTAGCTTCTTCTCTGGTAATATCATACTACTAACTAAAGCATACAAAACATTTGCTAGACCAATACTTGAATACAGCTCATCAGTCTGGAACCCACATTACGTATCTGATATTAACACAGTTGAGAAAGTCCAGAAATATTTCACAAGAAGAGTTCTCTACTCATTGCAAAATACCTTATGCCACCAGACTTGAAATTCTAGACCTATACAACCTAGGACTATGCCACCTTCAGTCCAATCTAAGTATAGTATATAAAATTATACACTGCAATGTCCTACCTGTCAATGAATACTTCAGCTTCAACCATAACAATACAAGAGCACACAACAGATACAAATTCAAGGTAAACCGCACCAAACTTGATTGCAGGATATACGACTTCAGCAACAGAGTGGTCAATGTCTGGAATACTCTACCTGACTCTGTGGTTAGTTCCACAAACCCCCAAAACTTTAATCTTAGGCTGTGTACTATTGACCTCACCCCTAAGAGGTCTTTAGGTGGCGTACATAAGTGCACCAACGTGCCTACCGTCCCTGTCCTATTGTTTCTTTTTATTTTTCTTATATGTATCCATTTCATGTATTCATAACTATGTTTATACTTATACATATTATCTTATAATCATTTGACAAATAAATAAATGGTTTGCAAGTTAAAAAGAAAAGCTTCTATCCATGTCCACCACATATGGTAGTAAGTTCCAGGTGTCTGGTGACATTTCCAACATTTCGCTGATTTGTCTTTAAACATCTTTGCCAGGTACAAAACGCCATTTGTAAAACATGCAAATTTTCTTTATAAGCTGTTGACATTGTTAGTTTACAGTTTCTGGAACTAGTAGAGAAAGAAGAATTGGCACAATAAAAATAAAAGATCTAAGCAAAACTTTTTTTGAAAATGTTCTTGGAAGTGTAATTGTGCCAGCATTGGGTCCTGGAGGTGGAGGGGTGGGGGAGGCAGGAACTTAATTTCTTGGTGCTACCATTGTATTGGTCTAGGGCAGGGCAGGGCAGGGCAGGGTTGAAGAATGCTATGAAAACCATCTAAGTAGCAACAATAATTTAGGGCTGTCTTCATGTTTGACAAATTGCCCAACCTCCAATCAATGTCATGGTTACAATGCAGATGGCTTAATAGATTTTAATTGAGAAATTTGATGGCAGATACCAACAGGAAAAAGTTCCCTCCCTGTCATGGTATCATTGTTTTCGATAGAGGAGAATATTTGTAGCCCAGGGTTGAAATGAGGGGTTCTTGGTGCTCTCTGAGCTTGGTGGTTTTCTTGCGGATGTTTCATTAGGCCAAATTAGGAGACGGCATAAGGCTCATTAGTTGGACTAGGAGTAGAGAAGAGGTCTAGTTGCCAAAACTCGCCATCATCCCATAAGCTCTCTAGACATTGCAAGAGGAGAATCTACGGTGTCTGAGAATCAGGCCAAATAATCTTTTTCAATAAAATCGCATACAGGTAATCCTCAACTGACAACCACAATTGAGCCCAAAATTTCTGTGGTAAAGCAAGATAGTTGCTAAGTGAGTTTTGTGACCTTTCTTGCCACAGTTGATAAGTGAATCGCCACCGTTGTTAAGTTAGTAACAAGGTCTGACGTCCCCAATGGCTTTGCTCATGAGGGGGTCGAAAAGGATGATCACATGACTCTGGGACACTGCAACCATCATACATAGGAGTTAGCTTCCAAGCATCTAAATTCTGATCACATGACCATGGGAAAGCTGTAAGGGCCATAAGGGTGAAAAACAATCATAAGTAACTTTTTCTAGGGCTGCTATAACTTTGAATGGTCACTAAATCAAGTGTTGTAAGTTGAGGATTACCAGTAACTGGAAAAGATGCTACAAAGCTGCCTAGGTGATAGCAATGGCACTTAGATTTATATACCGCTTCACAGTACTTTTACAGCTCTCTCTAAGCAGTTTACAGAGTCAGCCTATTGCCCCCAACAATCTGGGTCCTCATTTTACCCACCTCGGAAGGATGGAAGGCTGAGTCAATCTTGAACCTGGTGAAACTCGAACTGCTGACAGTCAGCAGAATTAGCCTGTAATATTGCATTCTAACCATTGTGCCACTATGACTCTTGTTGATACAATAGTGGGGGTTTTTTTTTGGCCCAAGCTACTTCACAACGTTGAGGGTGGGAAAAAGAGATAGAGGGGGAGTCTTGAGCTTCTAAATCCAAAGTGGGACATAAATAAATCTAATAAATAAATATATTCTTGCACTTCAGGTGCAAAAAAATTCCAAGCTTCAGTTCTTAGACAGGTTCACGGGGTTAGCATCTTAGAGGAACGGATGATTGTAGCACATATATTTTGCAGGTAGAAAATGTCAGCTTTATCTTCCACTAAAAGTCTTCCTGGGCAGTAAGGCTAGAAAAGGCCTTCTCCTTAGGGCCTCCAGCCAGTGCCATGTGCTCACCAGTCCTGGACTCTATGATCAGGTTTTCCCAAAGGTGGCACTTTCAAGGTTGCTGGGACATGAAGACCAGGTAGCCCACTCCAAGCCTGTATTGGATGGAGATTCTGGAGGTTTCAGTTCTGAGACACATGGAGGAAGGACATTGAGTGAAGAAAGGATGTTTCAGGCTAATGATCTGAGTTGGTAAAGGGCATCTCCTTAGGTCCGATACCCTTCATAGCAGCCTTCCCCAATTTGACTTTGCTGACAAGAAACGATGGACATTCTAGTGCAACCCAGCCAGGGGTAGGATTCTACCAGTTCGCACATATTCTCTAGAACTGGTTGTTAACATTCTAAGCAGTTCGGAGAACCGGTTGTTAGAAGAAATTACTGGCCTAATCCTGTAAGGAAGGCAGGGAGGAAACATTCTGGTGTTGCTTACAGAAACTGCCTCTCCGTTAACCCTTATTACATTCTTGGCAGGACGAGACTTCCTGTCTCAGGAACTTCTCTGGAGTTTTTTTTTCCCCTCCTTTGCTTGTGTGGAGTGACCATTTAAAGTTACAATGGCACTGAAAAAAGCAACTTATGGACATTTTTCACACTTATGACTGTTGCAGCATCCCCACAGTCATGAGAGGCCAGGCGAGGAGATGTATGCCTCGATGTGAGTGATGTTGAGTTGGCCACCCCCAGCCAGTCCCATGTCCACCAAGCCATGCCCATCAACTAAACCATGCCCACAGAACCAGTTGTTAAAAAAATTGAATCCCACCCCTGAACCCAGCCAGTAGTGAGATTCAATCTTTTTTTACTACCGGTTCTGTGGGTGTGGCTTGGTGGGCATGGCAGGGGAAAGATACTGTAAAATCTCCAGTCAGAGGTGGTAATTGTCGGTTCTCTGAACTACTCAAAATTTCTGCTACCGGTTCTCCAGAACTGGTCAGACCCTGCTAAATACCACCTCTGAACCCCGCTGAAATATCCTGGATCAGCGAAGACTTCTTATGTCTATTTCTTAGACTTCACAAGGCAATAAAGAGCTCTCCTCTTGCTGTCAAGGCAGCTAAAATCTCATCCTTGCCCAACTTGTTAAGTCTCTCTGCCATTAGATCTCTACTTCCTTATTTAAATTTCCCACCCCAAAAATCAACAGCCATCTCAAACCACAAGCAGCCATCAGAGGACCAAATTGACAGACATTTAATGTCTTCCCAAAAAACGAAAAGGAAACAATTGCTAGCCAACTATAAACCTTTTGTTCTGCCTTTTGCGTTCTTTTAGCTCTTTGTAATGTGCAAAATCTATTTTTAATAGACCAGTTGGGAGGAAGGCAGGGACCTTTTATTCACAAATATCCATTGAATTTGAAAAATTGTCTTTGCAATCCTTGATTTGTAATGTTTGTATGAGAACTCATTACATAGATTACATAAGCTGCTCTAAAAATTTGGACTGTTGCACCCAAGAATGGTTGAAGCTATGATTTCACATATTGCTTCACCTGTTATCTTTGGCAAAATAGATGCATTCCAATAAGCAAGCTCTCATTCCTTTTGTTTTTTTTCTAGGGCCATCTGCATTGGGTGCCAAACAAGATGGAGGAGCCAACAAGATCAGAGAGCAGCCCAAGGGACACCCTAAGAGTGAGTAGGGCCTTCTTGACTGCAACTCCTTGTTACCTGATGGAAACTGTCCTGATTTTGCTTTTGATCCTGGTCTCTTTCTGTCTCCAGAAATCCCACGAACACACATTTTTCTCATGGCTGAGACATATTCTTCTCTTTCTCGTTGTGTTGAAGTGGAGGTTTGGCTTCCCTACGATTGGGAAAGTCAAAATAATTCCTTGGTAAGAGCCACAGATTCCTAGAGGCATCTTCTTTCCTAGAGGTGGTAAGATCTAGTTCAATGATGGTGCGCCTTTGGGGCTAGGAGTATCAAAAGTTCAGAAAGTCCTAACTTGATTCTGCCAGTGTGTCATTTCTGCCTCCCACCACAAAATAGAATAGAATAGAGTAGAGTAGAGTAGAATAGAATAGAACAGAACAGAACAGAATATAATAGAATTCTTTATTGGCCAAGTGTAATTGGATACACAAGGAATTTGTCTTGGTGCAAATGTTCTCAGTGTACATAAAAGAAAAGATACATTCATCAAGAGTCAGGAATCATCAGGTACAACACTTAATAATAGTCATAGGATACAATAAGCAATCAAATCATACTAGGAAACAGTCAATAAGGATACAAGCGAAAAGGTTACAGTCATACAGTCACAAATGGGAGGGGATGGGCGATAAGGAGTGATGAAAAGATTAATAGTAATAGCAATGCAGACTTTGTAAATAGTTTGACAGTGTTGAGGGAATTATTTGTTTAGCAGAGTGACGGCATTTGGCAAAAAACTGTTCTTGTATCTAGTTGTTCTGGGGTGCAGTGCTCTATCGTGTCGTTTTAAAGGAAAGAGTTGAAACAGTTTATATCCGAGATGTGAGGGGTCTGTAAATATTTTCACGGCCCTCTTTTTGACTCATGCAGTATACAGGTCCTCTACTGAAGGCAGGTTGGTAGTAGTTGTTTTTTCTGCAGTCCTAATTACTCTCTGAAGTCTGTGTCTGTCTTGTTGGGTTGCAGAACCAAACCAGACAGTTATAGAGGTGCAGATGATAGACTCAATAATTCCTCTGTAGAACTGTATCAGCAGCTCCCTGGGTAGTTTGAGCTTTCTGAGTTGATGCAGAAAGAACATTCTTTGTTGTGCTTTTTTGATGATGTTTTTGATGTTAGGTGTCCATTTTAGGTCTTGTGATATGGTAGAACCTAGAAATTTGAAGGTCTCTACTGTTGATACTGTGTTGTCTAGTATTGTAAGAGGTGGTAGTATGGGAAGGTTTCTCCTAAAGTCTACCACCATTTCTATGGTTTTGAGTGTTTTCAGTTCCAGATTGTTCCGGTTACACCACGAGGCAAGTTGTACAACCTCCTGTCTGTATGCAGATTCGTCGTTGTCTCGAATGAGACCAATCACTGTTGTATCATCTCTGCAAACTTCAGTATTTTAATAGATGGATCATTTGAGATGTAGTCATTGGTATATAGGGAGAAGAGAAGTGGAGAAAGCACACAGCTTGGGGTGGTGGTGGTGCTAACTGTACAGGTATCAGATGTGATTCTGCCCAGCTTTACCTGATGCTTCCTGTCTGTTATGATCCACTTACTAGCGTGTTCAGGTACCACTAGCTGGATTAGTCTACTTAGAAGAATGTCTGGAATGATGGTATTGAATGCTGAACTGAAGTCTACAAAGACGACCCTTGCGTAGGTGATTTGGAGATTCAAGGTGTTGTAGGATATAGTGCAGCCATATTAAAAGGCAAACAATTATTTATAAGTTTATTTACTTTTTGAAAAGATGCAGTCCAGTCATGAATGGTATATAAAAAAAAAAAGAAATATGAGCTGAAGCACATTCATTTTTGGAGTCTGGCTTTCAAGAATAATTGTTGTTGGGAGTTGGTGAATTTGGCACGTTACCCAAAACATCATGGTGTGTCTCCTTTGACAGACGTGTCATACATTCATCATCACTGATCTAGTTATTTATTATTATATTGATTCCCAACCCTTCTCTGGAATGATGTCTTGTCTTAGGCCAAACATATAGAAACATAGCAGACAGGTAATGCAAACTTTACTGTTGGTTATTTACTACAACTGTGCAAATGGCAGGGATGCTATTAGCACCATTCACATACTGGTACATTGGAAAGAATCTCCCAAAGTCAAGGAAGATCTCCTTAACAAAACCCCAAATTTTCAAAGTCTGATGTAGAAGGCAAAAGAGTAGTCGGGGGGAGGCCCAAGGGTCAACGCATCACAGAAAGTTCATCAGAACCAAAGAAAGTTGTGAGATTCGAAGTCAACATTCAAGACACACAGAACCATAGAGTCATTAAGAGGTGCAGTGGTTAGAATGCAGGATTGCAGGCTAATTCTGCTGACTGCTAGCAGTTCAATTCTCACCGGCTCAAGGTTGACTCAGTCTTCCAGTCTTCTGAGCTCCGTAAAATGAGGATCCCAGTTCATTGGGGGCAATAGGCTGACTCTGTAAACTGCTTAGAGAGGGCTGTAAAGCTCCGTGAAGTGGTACATAAGTCTAAGAGCTATTGTTATCTGGGTTACCAGAGAGTTGTTGCCAACCAAGAGACTTGGGTTTTGCTATTCTGAAAAGTAGAGCTACTGACAGGTGAAAGCAACCAGAATCACTTGTGAAGAGTCTCAACACTAGTTTGTTGCTAGTCAACTATGTTTACAAGAATCTCACCTGAATGACCTCATTTCCCTGGAAACAGCAAGCTTCAAGGATTCTGGGGGAAGTCAGGCATGTGCCGATTCCTGCAACATAGCGACCCCAAACTTGAGCTCCTCTTAACTCAAGGGTCTTCAAACTTGACAGCTTTAAGAGTTGTGGACTTCCACTCCCAGAATTCCTGAGCTAACATGACTGGAGGAGGAATTCTGGGAGTTGAAGTCCACAACTCTTAAAGCTGTCAAGTTTGAAGACTTCCCCCCCTTAATTCCTCCCTCCAGTCTAGCTGGAGATTCTACCATTTCCAGTGAGTGCCAGTGTCACTCACAAGAGAACACAGGCTCCTCAACTTCACACAAAATGGCTGCTTCTGTTGATTACCTGAGGAGTCTGCCTCAAGTGTTTGCAGTTCCTGAGGCAATGGTTCATCTGGTAATCCTGAAGCAGGTTGCGCATTGTCAGTCAATTCATCAGAGCTCACTAAAACAAAGGACAATAGTGCACATGGGGGTCTCTCCTCATTTTATCCTGCAAAGGTGAAGAGAAACAACCAGTCTACTGTCACTCAGTGAATTCCAAAGTTGAGAAGGCACTTCCCTTGAGCCTCCAGAGTCACATTTCTCAGCCTTGGCAACTGAAGGTGTGCTGACTTCAACTGCCAGAATTCCCCAACCAGCATGCCTTTTTTTTGACCGCAGGTGGGGCTCCCAACCAATAATAGCCTACCAATGTTGCCGTGAAGACCTTTGTCTCTTAAAAAATGGATTCCATGGGTATGCAAACATACATACGTGCTTATTCTGTGTACTTTGTTTTTTGCTCTATTTGTTTATTATAATATACAGAAACTGAATTAGGTAAGGTAAAAAGGCTGATCTTGTCAGACTGACAGGCTATCTGATCTATTTGGAAAGCTGACAAGCAAGGCATACCTTTGCTTGCATTTCTCTCAGCAACTATTAACTTATGATACATTTATTTACCGGTACATAGAAATCTTATCTTTCTTCCAAAGAATGCAAGCTAACATTCTTGCAATACGTTAGGCTGAGATTTACTGAATAAACTGCAATCCACTGGGTTAGATGCTGGCCTAGAAATCAGCCAAGAGATTCTGAGTTCTAGTCCCGCCTTATTCATGAAAGACAGCTTGGGTGATTTTGGGCCAGTTCCTCCCTCTCAGCCCAAACCACCACATGGGTTGTTGTTGTGGAGATGATAGGGGGAAGGTGTGTTGGATACGTTTACCACCTTGGGTTCCCATAAAGCAACTGTTGTGGTTCACCAGCAGCAGGTGCAGACGGCCAAGGTCTCGGAGAGCGAGGATTCAGATGAGGGCCCTGTGTGTGATGCAAGGATGGGGCCAGAACTATCAGAGAGTGGAGTTCTGCCTTTGGAGCTTGTGCTGTCCCAGCCAGTCTATGGGAATTGGATAGTTACTTAGGAATTATGAGCTGTCCCCTTAAGGGACTGCATCTTGGTAAATGTAATTGAAGGTATCCTGGGAAATGTAGTCCATGTCACGTGACCACATCTGTAATCCTGATTGATCACTAGTTTGACCCTTGATGGGTTGGGGGAGTTTTCCTCATTTTTTGTCTGAACTCTCTTACTCATGGCAGCTTCTTTCTATCACTACGAGATGGGTTAGGAGATAACCATCTTTTACTACAAGGCAGATATACAAAGGATTGGTCATTAAAGAAGAACTTCATCACAAACGTGAGTTATGAGGATACCTGATGAACCAATAAATGTTCTTTGTTATGGACGACTTGTTGAGTTATCTCTCTGCATCTGTACAGTTTATAAATCTACCTCTGTACAGGATACAGAAAAGAGCTTGTAGAGGCTGTCAGCAGTGATGCAGAGAACCCCGAGGAACAGGGCTGCTCGAAGGAAAGAGCAGCTGCAGCAGCACAGGCGACTCTGGAGTAAGGCTGCAAGGCGATGGCCCCTCCTTTAAGGGATAAAAGCCAGCCCTCAGAGGTGGGATTCTTTGCAGGAAGCAAAGAAGTTCTTGCACTTCAGGTCTTGTGGAAGTTCGGACAATCCTGATTTGTGTTTGGAGACTTTGGGTTTTGATTATTTCCTTGCAATTTAATCTAGTGTTCTTAGCAGCCTTGCACAACCTTGGCAAGGCTTGTTCTTATCTGGGACAATTAGTTTTTAATAGCATTTAATGTGAATGAACGGAATTCACAGAGAAACATTAAAAAGGTTTTGCTTTTATCTCTGTTTGGTGTTTGTTTGCAAGGCTTGGGTTAGAACAGTAACAAAGGTGGGATAGAAAGATAAATAAGTAAAATCAGCTGGCATATATGGCATGGTTTCCAAACTGTGGTGGCTATTTTCACACAACACTAAACTATAAGCAAACCATATTTAGGTTTAGCACAAAGTGTGTATCCAGGCATGGGGTTTTTTCCTCTCCTTATTTTACCTGTCAGTGGCATCTGTGCAGCTTCGTGGCTGGATGGAGATTTGAAGTTGGGTCTGCTTGGCTCAAGTATAATGATTTCACCGCATACATCCCATTTACTGGAGAGATATATCCTCACCAAAGGCGTCTCATTTTTATTGCATAACTTCCAGCCTCTCAAAACGTCACCTGGTGTTGCCTATTCAGACTTCTAAAGTCTTTAGGGCTTTTGGAACTTAGATCTTGAATTTTTAAAAAAAAGTCCTGTGGTTTTCATGTTGGTAAACTATACAAAGTGTGGTTGCAAAAGATATTTTCAACGTGGGATCAAACGTCACAATGGATCAAACAGAGTGGTTGAAGCTCCCCCCCCCCCACTTTTTGTGCATCACACATGCAGAGGGATGGAATTGTCATACATATAAAGAGAGGCAGAGCTGTTGTGGCCACCACCTTGACATACCTGGGGATGCCTCTAGTAGTGCTACTACCTTTTGACTGGCATCCAGGCAGTGGAGAATTACAGAGAGCTGCTATTTTAATAACTCCACCCCTTAATAAATAGACCATGAATTGTATAGTCTCACCTAATTTATCTGGGCAGTCTTTCCAATTATCTTACATGTTCATGTTTTAACAGAAGAGAATATCTGCAGCTCAGGATTGAACTATAGAGTCTTTGATGCTTTTGGAAGTTGATGTGTTCTTGCAGACGTTTCATTACCTGATTAGGTAATATTATCAGTGCTACAGGGCCTGTGGTATAGGATTTGCTCCCTGTTTATAGTTTTCCATGCCAGTGTTGGTTGGTTTTCTCTTTAATATTATATTGTATTGATTGTGGTATTGCTTTCTGCTTGATTTTTGTCTGGTGCTAATCCCTGCTTATCTCAGTTGCTGAAGAAGATGTATTTTGGTTATTGAACTGTGCTGTGTATAACAGTTTCCCAATTGTGCTGGCTCTAGACATTGGGAACCATAGTCCTACCATACTGTATGGTATTTGAAGCAGAAAACTAGATTCTGTAATAGCTTTGTACCATATAGCATCAATATTGTAAATTCTCAAGTCTTTTTTCCACTGTGTATTGAAGTTGGACTGTGATTATATGCATGTATACATGTATGTGCCATTTAGTAGCAATCTTATAAATTCTCAAGACTCTTTTTTCCCCGCTATGTATTCAAGATGTACTGAGATTAATATGTTTGTATGCATGTATGTATGCAACTATGTATTTATGTCTTAGTGTAATTTTTGTATAATTTAGCATTTTGGGATGCTGCTGCTATTATATTTGTGATAATAATCACAAAATACAACTAGAGACAGTGAACAAGAACTTTATTATTAAGCGTTTATAAAAGGGAATTCTACTTGAATCCCTGCTGGCAGAAGACATTTCCCCCAGGAAGGCTGGGGTTTATATACAGGTTCAAATATATGTACAATCTCTGCCCCTTTCCTGGTTTCACAGTCTATCCAAGCTGTGTATCTCCCTACGCCACACCCATTGCATAACACCTGTTTCCTTGTCTTTGGAAACTACCCTTGTTCTCATTGCTATGTCTTCCTGTTATGTCCATCGAAGCACAATGGATCACTAACCAGTTCCATTCAGGTCACTATGGCCCAGTATCTCCCACATATATCCTAACGCCAAGAAATACAACCCCCATGTTCCAGCCAAAAACTTGACATTTACTTTAGAATATAACAAGTTACAAAACAGTACATGTTTATTAAATATAGTTATATAATTTTCCAGAAATCATTTCATAGTTCAAATATCTGATAAACATGGAATCTCTTCTGTTCTTCATCTTCTAAGGTGTAACTTGCAATATATATGTTATTGCCACATATAACAATATTATTATAGTTATTATTATTACCCTTGGGATGGTGACATTGATGGGTGGTTTTCTTATTTTTGAGAGCAGGTAGATCAGAATTTCATTTTAATGTGTGCCATTGTACATACAGGAAAATGACAATAAAGGTTATTCAATTCAATTCAATCTGGATGAGAAAAGTGCTTTGATTTCCACCACCCCTCTTCCTTTCTAGGGGTCCCTGCAGTACAACTGCTTCCCAATAGCTCTCAGTGGGGAATTGCATCTCAGAGTCTTTATGAGGCCTCACTATCATTCTACAGGTGTGTTACAAGTCATGCACCATGGACCAGGTGAGTTCTCTGGAAATAAGAAGTGAAACAATAAATCCATTTGATAAAATCAGTCTGAACCTCCACACTCACTGGATGGTTGAGGTAATTCCCCGTTAGGAGAATGAGTCATACAGGGAGACCTATTTGAGAGTAGTGTTTGAATAATACACACACAGCACACAGATACACTGTACAGTAAATGTAGGTTTTTTACTTTTGATAAAGGTTTAAGCAAAGTTCAAAATAAGCAGTCCAAAGTCATTCACAGGTAAGATCAGTCAGTTTTCAGTCCAAGGATAATCCAGTAACAAAGTTCAGTGTCAAAAACAGTTCAATATCAGACTTACATCAAATCCATGAATATCAGTCAATTAGAAGGAATGGCAATAATCTCCAACAGAAAGAAAAAGAGACTCACTGAGACTTCTTCTGAGACTAAGACTAAAACAACCCAGGTTTCTGGCTCCATTTTATGGCCATTTGAGAAACCACACCCAATTACACTTTTAGCATTCCCTTAAAGAGGCAGTATTAAAATGTCTATCCCGGTTTATATATGTCCAACCCAAATAGCTGTTAGGTGACTTACATTCCTAACATTATGTCTCTGCTGTGTTCTGTTCATAGACTGTACCTGGCCCAAAGCCACAGATGCCATTCACCTGTGTCAAGGTATGCTGCAATGCACTGACTTCCCTGTCAATAGTTTCCCCTCAGTGTTGGCACCAGCAGGGATTCAAGCAATTCCTAGAATTCCTTTCTGTAGCATAAAAGATTTAAAAGAACATCCAGGCGTGAACAAGGCTTCAAATCATAGTTTAAACCATAAGCCATAACTTACAAGCTAGAACAGCTGCATTGACATGGCACATTCAGCCCTATTATCAGGAGTGGGATTCTACTGGTTCAGTCCAGTTCTATAGAACCGGTTGTTATGATTCTGCAAAGTTCAGAGAACCGGCAAATCGCACCACTGACCTGAGAACAGAGCTGAACCTTCCTTAGGACTGAAGCTTCTATTTTTCAGTGCAGACTCAGACAGCAGATTGCAGAAAGGTAGATCTCTGAGTGAATCTGTGATTCTTCAAGCAGCTCAATCTCCCTGCCTACTTTGCCTTGTTTTGGGTAAAAGTTGCTCTTTTTTAATAAAAAATTCAATATTTACATAAATATTTACAATATTTACATACAAGCCATGCCCACCCAGTCACATGACCACCAAGCCACACCCACAAATTAGGGCATGCCCACAGAACTGGTTGTTAAGAAATTTGAATCCCACCCCTGCCTGTTATGATTGTTGTGTGAATCAAACCACTTAAATATTTCATTCACCTTCCGTCTAACCGATGCTCATTCCAGTTATGACACATGCTAGAGGCATTTTCTAATTCAGATTTCCTTTTAGGATTGGGTCAGATATTGTGGAAAGGTGGATGTCTGGGCCCTGACATTCATTCTTAAATACCAAATGTCATATTCTTATAACTGTAGGGTGAAATTTGAGTTTCTGTGCCTGAGGAATATTTGAAATATTAAATAAAAATTGCACAGGTCATCATACCTATAATATGCAATTCTGGGCTACAGAAGGCAGTTAATTCTGATTGCCCTAAATAATTTACTAGCAGTTCTGCAAAATTCATATTAAACATGGTATTTAGGAATGAATGTCCTCAACCTACAATCATTAGTTTAATGACGGTTCGAACTTACATCGTCCCTGGAAAAAGTGATGTATGGCTGTTTTTCAGACTTCTGTCATATCCCCATGGTCCAGAGATGGTATTCAGCAGGTTCTGACCAGTTCTGGAGAACCAGTAGCGGAAATTTTGAGTAGTTAGGAGAACCGGCAAATCCAACTCCTGACTGGAGATTTTACAGTATCCTTCCCCTGCCACGCCCACCAAGCCATGCCCATAGAACCGGTAGTAAAAAAAAATTGAATCCCACCACTGCCATGGTTGCATAAAATTTGGACACTCGACAACTGGCATGTATTTATGATAGTTACAGTATCCTGGGATCATGCGATCACTTTTTGCGACCTTCTGACAGGCAAAGTCAATAGGGAAGGCAGATTCATTTAACAACCGGGTTACTAACTTAATAACTGCAGTGTTTCATTTAACAACTGTAGCAAGAAAGGTCATAAAATGGGGCAAAATTCAGTTAACTCTCTTGCTTGGTAATGGAAATTTTGAGCTGAACTGTCATAAGTCGAGGACTGACTTGGTTTGTTTATTTATGTTCCACCTGTAATATTTTGATAAATAACTCAAAACAGCAAACATGCCTAATACCCTTCCTGCCTCCTGTTTCCCCCCCAACTACAGCCCTGTGCAGTGAGTTTACCTGACAGAGAGAGAGTGACTGGCCCAAGGTCATCCTGCCAGCTGGGTGATTTTTTTTTTTATGATTTTTTCTTGCTTCAAACTTAACGAGATTAATCAATTTCATCATATTGGGCTATTTACTTTTCAAAAAAAATCATATTTCATTTGTGGGTCCTGTCTTGGACACACTCCCGTCTGTAGATGCCATACTGCTGGTCTTGGCTCACACTCAAAAGGCTTCAGAGATGAGATAGTTGCCTACATTAAAAAAAAAAGGAATTGATTAAAATAGGGGAAAAAAGATAACAAGGGAACAGACAGCCATCTAGAAAAATTAGATGCTTTTTGATCTCACAGGAAACAACAGCCCCATTTGCGTCACGCAGCTCTGGACAACTGATTTGAGCCCTCAATGCTAATAAACAAATTTTATCTTACAGTCCCAAGATTAGCCACTTCTGTGGGGCTACAGTCGGCAATTCTACATGTGCAAAACGTCCCTAAAGGACTGCATTTCAAACTCTGGCTGTATCTGAATCGGACCGACGGATTGCAAGGTCTTGATCAGGGGACTCCCAAGTTGCTGGTAAGTGAAGGTTTTCCCCCAATGTTTGTCTTAAGCTTAGTTCTTCTCTGTTGAGATCGTCCTTGCTTAACAACAGCAATTGGAACCAGAATTTCTGTCGCTAAACGATGCGATCATAATGAGGTGTCACATGAACCTCCTCGCTGAACAACAGCAATCCTGGCACTCCCGTTACTATTGTTAAGTGAGGCTCACAGGCCTCTAAGCGAGTCCCAGGAGAGTCGCAAACAGGCTGGCGGGCCGGTAAGTGGCTGCTTCTGGTGGGAGAAGGCTCACAATTGGGAGACACTGAGTGGGATTGGGAGTGATTGCTGCGGAGTGGGAGGAGGGTGTCAGACCTGCCCCAACTTAGATATTTAAGAAAGCAAGACCCTCGACTCCATCTGATTGAAGTGATTCTTTTTTTTTTACTAAAGTTAAGTGGTTGCTGCAAAAGCCAAGCTAGATCTGAATATTCCCATGCAAAGGTTATCATTTTCCCCTTTCTCTGGTCCTTCCCTCTTGATCAGTCCATCAGTGCCCAATCAGTGCCCACAACAATACAAGAGCACACAATAGATACAAACTCAAGGTAAACCGCACCAAACTTGATTGCAGGAAATACGACTTCAGCAACAGAGTGGTCAATGTCTGGAATACTCTACCTGATTCTGTGGTTTCTTCCCCAAACCCCAAAAACTTTAACCTTAGACTGTCTACTATTGACCTCACCCCTTTCCTAAGAGGTCTGTAGGGGGAGTGCATAAGTGCACCAACATGCCTACTGTCCTTGTCCTATTGTTTCTTTTTTTTTATTCATATCCATTTCATGTATTCATAACCATGTGTGATGGCCCGTAGTCTCTCAAAATAACCCAAAACCCAAAACATACATTAAAGTCCGGTAAGGCCTTCAACTTAACTTCACTGTTTTATTAGGCACAGTTTAAAGTCACAAAAGTAAATAATGAGGCAAACAGAAAACCAAAACAAACCGCATTGATGAGAGTTCCAAAGCAAGCCAAAATAACTAATCATAAACTCCAGGAAAATAACCGAGAAAAGTCCCTGGGAAGAAGGCCAGCAAAGATAAACCTCTTTCAAGGTGAACACTAAATTGACTCCTGCAAATTCTAACTGCGCAGTTGCAAACTCATATACATAGCTCCCACCTGCAAGCCACAAGGAGGATCATGGTAATCTCCTCTTGAGTAGACCTTGCTTTTCCCTGATCCTCTTCTACCTGGGTGACCTAGGATGGATAGGGGATGAGCCTGGATCCTCCTCTGACTGCTCAGCCGGCCTCTGCCCTTCCCCAGCCTCCTCCACCACCCCTGGAGCCACACTCCCACTCCCTGTTGGCTGTTCCTCCTCTTCCTCAGAGTCAGTCTCTGCCAGGGGCATGACACCGTGCTTATACCTGTTACCTAATACTTGCTTGACAAATAAAATAAATACATAAATAAATAACTAGTGTGCTGGTTTGAAGTTTTGGGAACTGCTTTGATGCTTGATGTCTCTCAGTGTAGTTTCACATTCTGTTCCCAGTTCCTTTTGTCCTTGGCAGCTGGCTCATTCCAGTTATTGTTAACTTGTCTCTCTGCCCTCTGTTTGTCTTTCCAACTCTCAAGCCTGAACTTTACTTTCCCAAATTCCTTCCCCCACCCCCCGCTCCCCCGGGCTTTATGGCAGAATGCCAGCAGAATGAAGAAGCTGAAGATGGCAGAGCTGACAAGCGGCTACTGGAGCAACTTTCAACCTTCTCTGCTGGGTCCCCCATTGGCTTTGCTTACAGGAAGCCGGCAGGCAAGGTCACAAATGCTGATCATGTGACCATGAAATATAGCAACTATCATAGGGGCGAAGCGGATATCAAGCACCCTGATTGCGATCACGTGACTGCAGGGACACTGTGATTGCTGGAAGTTAAAAGTCCCACTCGTTCAGTTTCACTGAAACTTTGAATTGTCACTCAACAAGTACTTGTTAAGTGAGGACTACCTGCAACCCCTCATTTACTCTTTTTCCTTACATGGTTATAAACCTTGCTCATTCTGTTACTGCCTCCAAATGAAAGCGATATGGAGCTTCAGGGTATCAGATCTCCGAGTTTTTATTCCCGGCTCAAGGAAAGAATGACTAAAATCAAGGGATTTCCCATCATTGTTATTAAGAATAACAAGATGTTGCTTCTTAGGTGGAAATCAGAAATGGTTGTTGTTTCAGCCTAAAGAAACAGCAAGTGTCAGCCCTATAAGGTAGGCCAGACTAAGAAACCAATGCAATCCAGGACGACTTTTATTGTAACAGCTATAAAGTTATCTGTGGACTGCCTCTTTCTGAGGATGCCAGCCCACTCCCATCAGACCCGAAAGGGTGGCATGCTCCAGATGGTTTCTCTTAATTGTTGTCTTCTAGCCATACCTGTGAAGTAGGTCTTGTCCATAGTAGCCTCTGCCCTGTGTAACATCCTTCTCCTCGAAATCGGCAGCCGCTCCCCTGAGCTCATTAGTGGCATCCCGTTGCAATGAACAAGGACATATATTCAATTTCACAGTTACTAAGTTTGTTGGCCGAGCTGTAACAAAAATAGCCCAGGAATTGATTGAACCCTGGGAAACTGGCCCCTTGTCGATCAACAGGGGTGCTGATTTATCACTAGCTTATCAAGTGTTTAGGAGACAAGAGCACAGCAGCACAAGGAAGCAACAACGGCCATCAACACACCGATTAACAACTAAAAGCCACACAAAACTAGGCACCACATAAAATGCATATAACAGCCCGGTGCACACATTTTGGAGAGAGAAAAATTCCCTGAGGATGGGCTTCAGCATGAGTCTGAAAGCTTGGAAAACTAAACCCGGCAACCTACCCAGATTGGATCATGCAACATTATCCTGAGACATACATATGCTCACCTTTCCTTTTAAGGCCTTAAAAAGTTGTTTTCCCCTCTAGATGTTAAGATAAAGCGAGGCTGGCATCCAGCAATTGTGATATTTATATATTGGGGTGTTGTTATGACCCAGGGTGGGATACAAAACAAACAGTCACAGAAAACAGGTGAAGCCCCTTTTATTCCTTCACTTTGCTTCCAAGCTCCAAATATCCTTGACGGAAGACAAAAAATTCCCTTACAAACAGTTACAAGAAGGAGGGAAAAAGCAACACAAGCCAGGTGTTGGTGTGAGCTGCCTAGAATTATGGAATATAGGATGGGTGGCTACATATGTATTAGAAATAAATAAATAAAATTATAATTTTAGTCAAGATGGGTGGCATATAAATGTAACAAATAAAATAAAAACAAACAAATTAGGGAATCCTAGTATCCTGAAAACATCTGATTTACTCACAGTTATCTTTCTCCCTCTAACCTAGACTGGATCGGAGAATGTGAGTTTACCAATCTCGCAGGTGTTTCCTTGTCTCTGCTTTCAGGTAAGAACAATGCTTCACAAGGTCTCTCCCATACTTCTTCAGGCCACCTGCCCAAAGTTTAATCTGGCAGAGCTGCTGCCTGCAACTGCAGAGAAGGTAACAGAGAGCAAGCTTAAGGCAGAGTTACAGCTATGATATTTTAGCCCATTTTCTGCAACTTTTCTAGAGATGGAAAGATTGAGTTCCTGTGGAAGGTTGGTTTCTTAGGTAAAAATGCACGGCTTTGGAGTGTTACCAGAGGACTCACCGAGGAGGGGCGGGAAATTCCAAGATGAGAACTGTAGAGTATTGTTTTTACCCCTGACCAGCAGAAATATAGGCGCTCCTGGATTATTTTAAATTAGGGAGGGACAAACTGTAGTCCCCAGATGGAATCAGGCCTGCAAGGATATCATTTGTGACTCTTCCTGACCACACCAGGAATCACTGTAGTGTAAATGCACCAATGAAATTGTAAATTTGCCATAGGGATAGATTTTTTAAAAAACAATTCTATCTTTACCAAAATGGCCCCGTTATTATCTTAGCATCATTGCCTCACCTATTCCAGCATCAGACTGTTAAAAATTTAGGGCAAGGCCCCTTCATCAAAATGTTATCTATCCCTATTCTAACAGTGCCTGATTAATGCCATTTAAACCATTTTAAACCAGCTCCGGTGGCCTGGAGGTGGAACTCTTGTCTCACTATCAGAAGGCTGTGAGTTTGGTCCTAGGTAGAAGCTAATATTTGGAATAGACTCTCCTGTTAGGACAGGGGTGTGATTCAAATTTTTTAACAACCGATTCTGTGCGCGTGGCTTAGTTGGTGGGCATGGCTTGGTGGGCATGTGACTGGGTGGGCGTGGCCAACTCAATATCACTCACATTGAGGCATTCATCTCCTCGCCTGGCCTTTCATGACTGTGGGGATGCTGCAACAGTCGTAAGTGTGAAAAATGGTCATAAGTCACTTTTTCCAGTGCCATTGTAACTTTGAATGGTCACTCCACACAAGCAAAGTACCAGGAAAAGGAGGGGAAAAAAACTCCAGAGAAGTTCCAGAGACAAGAAGTCTAGTCCTACCAAGAATGTAATAAGGGTTAACGGAGAGGCAGTTTCTGTAAGCAACACCAGAATGTCTCCTTCCTGCCTTCCTTACAGGATTAGGCCAGTAATTTCTTCTAACAACCGGTTCTCTGAACTGCTTAGAATGTTAACAACTGGTTCTAGCGAATAGGCGCGAACCTGTAGAATCCCACCCCTGGGATTGGACTAGATGACCTCCAAGATAGGTCCCTTCCAACTCTGTTATTCTATGAACACTTGATTTTTTTCAAAGAGCCTCATGTACTTAATAAAACAGTTCTTTGAGAAAGCTGTCCATCTCGGAGTGCTGAATTGGTTGGGTTCATCAGTTGGAACCTTGAAACAAGGACTGATTTCTAAGTTATCCATAATAAATGAGTTTTAGCAGATGGCAGCACCTGGCCAGCCTGATCTGGAGAAACTAGTTAGTACTGAAATGGGAATTTAGGAAGCTTTTTCATGGTTGTAGACTCGTCTGGGACATTTAAGAAGCTTCCCAGAACAAGGCCACAATACTCATCCTGTGACCAAAAAGTACGGTACAGAAGTGCCTGTCAGAGGACCAAGAGCTGACTTGACTGGATTATCTGATTTGTTCCAAATGGGAGGGTAGCTTCAGATGGCCCATGACACCATCTAGTGAGCTATTTCATGTTTGCAGCAATTCTCAGGTAAATTTTCCTCTTTTCTATGCCAGACTTTCTCTTTTGGGCTTAGTGTGCGATTGAAATGGCATCTATGGCAATCTCCAATATGCACTGATGATGCATATCATAAATCATTCCTATGCCTGTTTCCAAGTTGCCATAAGAAGGAGGGTGGGAAAGGCCTGAGGGAGCAGTGGGGCAGATGTAGGCCAGAAGCACATTCCACACTTATCTTGTGGAGATTGTAGCTTAGGCTACTGGATCTTCTGTCCACGGAAAATCCTTCATTAGAGAGTGTCCGTGAACATGTTTCATTGGAGATTCTGATTTATGACATACCCAGAGGGTGTGGGGAAACAGAGTCATAGGTGATAGTAAATTATGTGTCTCAGAGTTGGCTTCATACGTTAATGCTGGACATGTTGCTTCTAATAAATCTTTTGGATTCCTTTGAAGCTTGGCTCGAGACTCATGATTTAATTAGGGAAAAACCCTGACGCATACGGTTATATAGCGTCACCCACTGCCAGATAAATCTTTTCAGAATAGTGGCATCAAACGCTCCGTGTCATGACTGGAATATTGCCATCCTTAACCAGCTGTTAATTCATGGAGGATGGGAGGGCAGGATAGCCCCTCCCTCCCAGGACCATCCATAGCGGGTTTCAAAATAGTCAAGATGGTGGCTGCAACTATGCAACTGAGGCGCAGGACATACCTACACAGCCTTCCTTGTGCCAGTCCGATGTATGAACAGACCGAATCAAATAGGTCCACAAGTTCACCTGAGAGTCCCTACACTGGATTGGGTCATGTGGCTTTAAAAAAATGAGACCACAAGCCAGAATTGATTCTAGACAACCGGAGATGGAAAAGGTAGAGAAGATTGTTGTAGCTGTGGGTGCAAGGGGCTTTGCTTCTGTTTGAGGTTACCTAACCTTGTTATTCCTCTCAGAGGTTGATTTTGCAGAAGTATAAAAATCAGATGGATGGATAGACAGGGAACGTCTTTAAGGCCACCTCTCTCCCCCTCCTTATCCTCTCAAATATTGTGTCCGTAGGTCTGGCCCAAGATTGAAGACCAAGCTGACACACCTCGAACGCATCTCTGTCCCTTTGTAAATGGTATGAAAATGGCATTTCATTCCATTTTAAGGCAGATAACTATTGGCTAAAATAAATGCAAATATATGCACATGTGGGGGAATGGGCTCGCTGGGAAGATGGGATCACTTTGATAGAAGTGTCCAAAGGTGCTTTTTTTCAGGAGGCAACTGGACTTCCTTGCTTTTTTTTTTTTCTTTGAAGATGTTTTGCTTCTCATCCAAAAAGCTTCTTCAACTGTGACTGGATAGTGGGCAATGGAAAGATTTATATTCCTCGCAGACAGCTGGCCATCTTTAGCTACTGACTTTTAGCTATGCAATTTGGGATGAACACCCTTTGAATGGTGTGGGTGTATGAACGGATTCCCAGAGGAAAATTTGCAGACTTCAGGAACCAGGAGCATTACCCCGATGACCCTGAGGACACAGATAAACCGCTCCAAGTGCTTCAAGGACCCTCTAAAAGAATGCAGATGAGCAGCTGTCTGCAAGGAACATCAACCCTCCCATTCCCCACCATCCAGTCGGAGCTGAAGAAGCTTCTTGGATGAGAAGCGAAAAAAAACAAAGTTTTTTCAAAGAAAAACAACAAGAAAGTCCAATTCAGCAGTGGGATCCTCTCTGTTCCACTACGAGTTCGATGACCATGTGCATGCGCATGTGCCCCTTGTTATAGATCGGAAAAAGGGGAGGCCACACCAGAGCATTCCAAATAACACACTTTATTCAGGGAATAAAGGGGGCTGTCGCGTCTGCATTCTAACAGGCAGACCTACCAGCGAACAGCGACTGGCTCGACCTCGCAGCCGGCTTTTATAGCTGGCTGTCGAAGGGAGCCAGCCAATGGGGGCTGCAAACGCCCCCACGGAATGAACGGACCTGATGGGGAACTTGTGTCAGCCCCGGGGACATAAAACCCCTTCCCCCCAGATACGACCACGAATAATCTTTCAAGTAAGCGGGTGGTCTGTGCGAGCGCCCTGACCGGTGCAATTCTGGTGAGTCACAAAGTGGCACAGAGTTCGGTGGGTCAGGAACGGGTTTTGCTGGAACACAGGATCGACCCGGGACCCGGTCTGGAGTCTGGGAATGACCACAGTCTTCGGGTTGGATTGTTGAACTGTCATTGTCACGCAACCCGGTAGTGTCATTGGACGGTAAGGCTGGCGACTCTGACGGACGGTCCCGGTCTACCGTCCGTTCCCTCGGTTCGACCGGTGGAGGCTGGTCACTCTGGTGGTCCCAACTCGGATTCGGGAGTGGCGACTGGAGTGTCCCTGGAGTCCCTGGGTCAGAGTTGGCAAATTCGCTCTGGCGACTTCTTATCTGGTCCAGATGTCTCCTCCAGACGCGCCCGTCCTCCAACTGGATGCGGTATGATCTCGGACCGGTGATGGCCACGATCCTTCCGGGTACCCACAACGGATCGCCCGCGTAGTTCCGGACAAACACTCGGTCCTGTAATACAAAACTCCTGACCCTACTGTTAGAACCAATTGGTGTGTCAGGGCAATAGTGGGGATGCAGTCTATCTAACACTGTCCTTAAACGTCTGCCCATCAGTAGCTCGGCTGGAGACTTGTTTGTGACAGTGCATGGGGTCGAGTGTTGGCTTAAAAGAAAACGAGAGAGTCTGGAGTGCCAGTCATCTTGAGTGAATCTTGCCAACGCCTCCTTTGCTGTCCTAACGGCTCTCTCCGCCAACCCATTGCTAGCGGGGTGAAAGGGAGCCGTTAGGATATGTCGGATGCCCAGGTTGGTGACATACCGGCTGAATTCTGTGGACGTAAATTGGGGCCCATTGTCTGAGACTATGGTGTCAGGCAGACCGTGTGTAACAAATAGGCGGGTCAGAGCCTGGGCAATTGCTCGGGTGGTGGTTGCGAGTAGGAGGGCCACATCGATCCATTTTGAGAATGAATCAATGACCACCAGGAAGGTCTTGCCGTGGAATGGCCCGGCCAAGTCAATGTGCAAATGTGACCACGGCGCATTGGCACTTTCCCATTTGGTTGGGGTGGTGATTGGCGGTGCTGGCCTGGATTCCTGACAGGGACGGCAGGAGCTTACCCATTTTGCTATCTCGTCGTCCATGCCCGGCCACCAGACGTAACTCCGAGCCAACGCTTTCATCCGGACGATGCCGGGATGTCCCTCGTGTAATGCCTTCAGGACGGGTGTGCGCAGTGGTTCTGGAATGACAACTCTGGTCCCCCATAACAGGCAGCCCTGTAAACTGGAAAGCTCTTGCTGGCGGGTTTTAAACGGTGAGAATTCAGTTGAGAGATCGTTGCCCGGCCACCCCCTCCGTACCCAGTCCAGAACCTGGGCGATAAGTTTGTCTTTTTTGGAGTGGAGGGCGATGTCGCCAGCAGTGACTGGAATGTTGAACTCACTGGCATCGAAAATGGCATGTACCGGGGCCGGGTCCTCCACGGGTGCTGGCAACGGGCAGCGGCTGAGAGCGTCGGCGTGGCTAAGGTGTTTTCCCGGGCGGTGAACTAGTTTGTACGAGTAAGCCGCCAGGTATAAGGTCCACCTAGTCATCCTAGGTGACAAGACTTGCGGTGTCTGCTTTTCACCTGAGAGGAGCCCCAATAGTGGTTTGTGGTCTGTGACAAGTTCGAAATTGTGACCAAAAAGAAATTCATGGAATTTTTTGACCGCAGCTACGGCGGCTAGGGCCTCTTTGTCAATTTGGCTGTAGTTACGTTCAGTTGCTGAGAAAGTTCTCGAAAAGAATGCGATTGGGGCTTCAGAGCCGTTGGGAAGTCTGTGACTCAAGACTGCCCCAATCCCGAAAGGTGAGGCGTCTGCTGCTAAGACTAGAGGAAGGTGTTGGTCAAATTGTATTAGGACAGCGTCCGAGGTGAGCAGCGATTTAACTGCCTTAAAGGCGTAATCCTCTTTGGGTCCCCAATGCCATGGAGTGTTTTTGTCTAGAAGTCTATGCAGCGGTTCTGCTACTGACGCTTTGTGGGGTAGGAACGATGCATAGAAGTTTAGCAAACCCAGGAAAGCCTGTAACTCTGACTTGGAAGAAGGAGTGGGTGCCTCGTGAATGGCTTTGACTTTGGATTCCACCGGGTGGATGCCTGAGGCGTCTATTTTATACCCAAGAAAGTCCACCTGCTTAGTGGCGATGGCACACTTCTCCCTTTTTAGTTTGAGGCCATGCTGCCTGAACCTATCCAATACCGCTCTGACTCTGAGGAGAAGTTGGGGTCTGTCCCTGGCTGATACCAAAATGTCATCAAAATACGGAACCACGCCAGGGAGGCCTTGCAGTATCCGTTCCATTAATGACTGAAATATACCTGGGGCGACGCTAACGCCAAATTGGAGACGTTTGCATCGGAATGCCCCTCTGTGGGTGACAATTGTTTGTAATTCGGCCGTTTGGTTGTCTACAGGAAACTGTTGATAAGCCTGTGACATATCCAATTTGGCGAATATGGTTCCTGGTTCAAATGTGTGTAGTAAGTGTTGGATTACCGGAACTGGGTATGCGCTAGTCTGTAGATAGCGGTTAATTGTGGTCTTATAGTCATAACACATTCTTATACTGCCATCTTTTTTTAGAGGTGTGACAATTGGGGTCTCCCACTTAGCAAAATCCGTGGGCTCGATCACCCCTTGTTTGAGCAATTTATCCAGTTCCGCGTCCAGTTTAGAGCGCAGAGCAAATGGTACTCTGCGTGGCTTTAAACGGACGGGAACTGCTTGGGGGTCCACTGAAAAGGAGATGGGCGTACCCTTATAACAACCCAGTTCATTGCTGAACACATCAGCATAGTCCGAAAATAGCGAGTCGATATCGGAAGGTGAGACAGCATGAACTCCCGTTACGCTAAGGCCGAGATAGGGGAACCAATCCAACCCCAAAAGGCTAGGGAGGGCACCATCTACCACCACTAAAGGCAGATGGCCTTTAAAGGATTTGAATTTAACGAGGAACTTGCCTGTTCCGAGTACTGGGATGTTCTTCCCCTGGTAGTCCCTCAAGGTGAGACGACTCTTCTGGAGCTGGTTTCTGGACAGGCTGGGTCGTAGTTTCTTGAGCGTGCTCCATGAGATGATCGAGAGTGCTGACCCGGTATCGACTTCCATAAGACAGGGTTTACCTTCTAAATGGATAGAAAGTGTGATTTTGTTAGGTGTCAGAAAAGTGTGGTTAGCTTGGTAGCACGTGTAACAATTTTCTACTTGGCTGGGTGGCCCCGGAGGGGAGTAAAAGGACGCTGACTTTTGTGGAGCCACGTGTGTTGCCTGGCAGGCCCTGGCAATGTGGCCTTTCTTGCCGCAATTGTTGCAGGTAGCGTTCCTGAACCTGCAAGTCGTTCTGGCATGGGAACCCCCGCAGGCGAGGCACAACAGGATGTGTTGGAAGCGTTGCCATTCCCAGGCCTAGTTCCTACCTGTGGCTGCTTGGATGGTTTGAGCCGATGAACTTCTAAGTGCTCAACGGGGTCTTCTTCGCTCACCGCCTCCTCTGAATGGATGGTGACTGGACTGGATTTGGCCGCGCTCCCTTGTATTTCGGCGGCTGACTGGGTCGCTAGCTCCGCTGCCAAGGCTTCCTCGATCGCTTGAGTGAGGTTGAGGTCTTTTCTAGCCAGCAAGCGCCTCTGCAATCTTAAGTCTCTGACTCCACAGACGAGTTGGTCAAGGAGCATGTCATCTAGGTAATTTTTAAATTCGCAGTGGAGAGCTGCGGTTCTCAGGGCGGCCAAATACTGATTGATAGATTCCCCATCTGCTTGCTTCCTCATACGAAAGGCAAAACGTCTCGTGATCTGCAATGGTTTTGGGAAATAATGATTGGAGAGTGTCTCTAACAGCTCGGACCAGGGGGCGCTCTTTAATTCTCTGGGTGCAGATAGCGCTGTGGCGGTATCGAACACTGCGGCCCCGCAGTAACTCAGGAAGTACGATTTCTTCCTGTTCTCTGTAGCATCGGCCAGACCAATGGCATCAATGTAGTGATTGAAACGGTTTCTGTAAGAGTCCCACTTGTCTTCATCTGGCTTAAATGGCGGAAACGCCGGATTTGAATTCATATTGGGTTTTCAGTCTGTTGGTAGACTGACCAATCTCACTGGGAATACAATGGCCCTGATAAGTGTGGCAGCAGTAGCTTGCAGCTCTGCCCCAGCTTAGTGTTTCAGCTCTTAGAGGTTCTCTCTGTGTTTCACGCTCTATGTGACTCTGTCGGCTATGGCTGTAGCCCGTAACTGACTTCCGTTTGAATTTCGCGCCTTTACAAAGGCGTAGGCGGCTATAGCTGTAGCGTCGTGCTGACAGCTATTCGAATCGCGCGCCCAATGCGTTCTGGCGGCTGCGAGTACAGCGCCAAGCTTGCTAACAGCAGAATCCGAAACACAGCGGTTGAATTCTGCGCTCCAGTGTTGGGCGGCTGAGGCTCTCAGTGCCCTGCTTCTCACGTAGCTTTTTTTTTTTTTTTACACGGAGCGGCTACACACTCCGCTTTCACTTCTGCAATCCACAACTGACCGAGCTCTCACGACACGGCTACGGTTCAGCATTTTGGTGTGTGATTTTCAGCTCTTTGATATTGCTGCTGGTTGGCCAGATCCCACCTTCGTCGCCAATGTTATAGATCGGAAAAAGGGGAGGCCACACCAGAGCATTCCAAATAACACGCTTTATTCAGGGAATAAAGGGGGCTGTCGCGTCTACATTCTAACAGGCAGACCTACCAACGAACAGCGACTGGCTCGACCTCGCAGCCGGCTTTTATAGCCGGCTGTCGAAGGGAGCCAGCCAATGGGGGCTGCAAACGCCCCCGCGGAATGAATGGACCTGATGGGGAACTTGTGTCAGCCCCGGGGACATAACACCCCTAATGCGTGCACGCAGCTTTCCACACACCAGCTGAGGGCTGCAGCGGCAATCAGCTGAGAGGAGAAAGAAGAGAAAAGTGCAGAGGTGAGTGAGGGGGCTGATCCTGCCCTTTTCTCTTCTTTCTCCACTCAGCTGATCGTCGGAGCCTTTTTTTTTTTTTTTACACCGGCCCAAACCAGCAGCATACCGCCACTGGTCCAGCTGCCTCCTGAAAAAGCATCTTCGGGATAATCATGACCTAACCCTGGATGACTGAGAATCGCTACAGACTTTGTTAGAAGTGCAACACTCTCATTTCAGACCGAGCAGCTTTGGCCAGGGCCTGGGCACACAGCCGCTTGGAAGTTCACCCTTCTCGTGAGAGTTTGAGCTGCTTGGTTTCTGCTCCATGTGACCTGCAAGGAGAGCTGGTTCCCTGTTGGCGGATGGAAGAGCTTGCCTGCCACCCTCTGCATCCCCACCTGCATCTGGCCCTCATTCCAAATGTAGGTAAAAGAGAGCAAAAAAGAGGGAGGGGAAAGAGAAACGTCAAACAGGAGAGGAAGAACAAGTCTTATGTCAGTATGCTGCCACTGCCAGGTTAAAGGGATTCTGGTAAAAATCTCCACTAAGAATTACAAAATATAAACCTGTTGCAATGTTTTCTCTCTTCCCTCCCCAATTCCTTTCTTTTTTTCCCTTCTTTTTTTGTTTTTTCTTCCATTTTTGCACTAAGTAGCAGTTTTTCCTTCCTTCCTTCCTTCCTTCCTTCCTTCCTTCCTTCCTTCCTTC